TCGATTTTTGAAATTATTTCTGTTTTCTCCTTGATCTAATTGTGCACACATAACTGCAGAAGGAATAGATTTAATTGTTGATGGTTGTGGAGAGAGTTTGAAGTTTCGTCTAGTTGGGGATCATTTCGAATGGTTTCTAATGATTGAACAAGTGGAATTGGCTCTTGGTTTTGATATGATACGTTGCTGATCTTTGGTGGAGAGGAGCTGACTTGTTTAGTTACAATTAATTGCTCATTTTCGAATGATTTAATGTCATCAATGCGAAAGACTGAAGTTTCGTCTTTTTCTCTATCCAAAACAAAGTAATTCTTCAATAATTCATCATTGCATAATTGTTTCCTGAGTTCGTGCTTGGCAGACTTTACTTTCTTCTTGTTTATTCTATTCAATGTTTTACTAGTTTCGTCTGTGAACATTAGTTTCGGATTCTTTCCATTATTCATCATGGAATCTTTTTGGTATTTTATTTGATCACGTAATTTGAGATTTTTGCTTCTGAACCTGTCAACAATTCAGCAAGGACTTTAGCACCACTTTCTATCAAGAAATTTCCAACAGAAAGAGTTGTATAGTTGACAGATATCAAAATTAAGGCACCTGACATGTGTCATGAGAGGAAGATAAGGTTGAATAAAAACGAAACATGTTAAATTTAGTTTATTTCTTTTTTGTTTATTTCTCGTAGAAGCTCCTCTTCTTTGCAGACCTCTATTTTCTCCATTACTCTTTAAGGAAATAATTAGTGACTTTCTTTTTAGAAACAAGAGTTTCGGATATCAAAATATTAATAATAATACCTTTTCATTAAATAGGCAATCCACATTTTCCAAAAACACTTTAATCATGTAGAAAAGGGAGAATTCATTTATAGACTTTTCAGTCGAAATTTACCATTTGTTGATTTGTAATTATTCGAAAATGATTTATTTCAGAAATGATGAGTATCCTTTGTTATATTTCACTGAATAGTTTTTCAGAAAAAGTTTTCCACTATCACTCACTACATGTGTTGAAACACATTGTTGAACAAAGTTCTGAGTTATTTTTAATACTCTTCAATTCCACTTAATAATGCTTTCATTTACAATTATTGTACATTAAAATTGTGTTTGTTGATGAATTGATGTAAATTCTTGCCAGGTTTGATGTGACAGACTGATTCGGTCTGGTTGACAATACATGAACACACTACTAGCTGTTGATTGTTGATCCTCTAGATTCAATCTATTTGATTGTGGTATTAAAATGTTACATGACCACACCTTTTTTTGACACACATGTACATGTAGCTGTTGTGTGCATGTTCAGCAATTTAACAAATATGATAACAATTGAAGCATGCTATATCTCTTTCGAAACCTCCACTATTAACTTTCTTCTAACAACATTATTCCGGTGCTACATGTAAGCACACATGGTCAGCATGTTATTTCTTTTTTGTTTGAACGTATTGGAAGTCTACATGTTGTAACCTCAACAACATGATGACTTTCTAATATTTCAATTTCACCAAAAGCAGTGAAATGACTCATTTTAAGCAGGCAAATTGCTTTTAAACGATCTAATGAATTTGTAACAGTGGTATTATTCAAGATTAGTTTGCCTAAATCTGCCTTCTTCGCGTAATTGACTGGCCGAAAGTCATGGATCCATTTACAAATCTCCAACTTGCAGATTTATTGAAAGCAACTTCTTTTTTGCCCTTCTTGTTGGTGAATGAGTGCACAACACAATTGTAGAAGGAATTGGTTCATTTCTTGTTGGTTGTGGATGGTGTTTATAATTTCGTCTGGTTGTGGATCATTTCGAATGATTTCAGATACTTGTACTGGTGGATTTGGTTCATGGTGATGAGTTGATTGGACGTTAGTGACCATTGAGTGTTTAGTCACAATTACTTGCTCATTTTCTAATGGTGTGTTTTCAATTCGAAAGACAACAGTTTCGTCCTTTTCAGGGTTCAAAACAAAGTAATTCTTTAATAAATCATCATTACACAACTGTTTTCTCAATTCATGTTTGGCAGATATCTTTTCCTTCTTCTTATGTATTCTATTCAATGTTTTACAAGTTTCGTCCATAAACTTTATAACTTTCTCCTTCTTTCTAATATTCGA